CAAGCAGGAACCTGCTACGAAGCGACAGCGCTCATTAGATGAGTCAGCTTCAAAACCTGATGCCAAAAAGGCAAAATTTCGTGGCAACGCCACAAATGCAAAATCCTTTAGCGACATGCTGAAGGGTTCTTTAATAATGGGAGTCATTGATGAAAATGACCCGGATGGCACAATTACACCTGCTAAGTGGGACTTAATTGAGCTCAAGCTCCTTGACATTTATGTCGATCTCCTGAAGGACTTTCCTGGAGACGGTCCCACTTGTCGCGATAGTGGATGGCATCAGGGCCATGTGAAACTTATCGCCTGCGCAGATCAGCGTTCTGTTGATCTTTTTCGCAAAGCCATTTCCAGAATTGGTGAGGCATGGCCAGGCCCCAAACTTAAGGTTGTTACTAAGGAGCAAATCCCTAGTCGACCAAGAGCGCGTTCCTGGATACCAGCCCATCAGTCCGATCCTCAGCGGATTCTGGAACTTATTCGGCTAGGAAACCGGCAGTTAAACACATCAACGTGGAAGATTACCAAGCTGGAGGAAGTCAAGGGTAAATATAGGTCGGTCAGTTTTGTGATTGACAAAGCATCCTTGGCCACTTTGGCGAAATCAAACGGTGTTATTAACTACGGTTTCTCAGCCATCACAATGAGGGTATATAAAAAGGACGAGGAGCAATCCTTACCTAACGACACAGGTCCAGCAGCACCGCAAGGCACTGTTGATACCATAATGGAAGCGGGTGATATTGAAACTGCTACCGCAAACTCAGTGGGCCCAGTAGAAATACTGCCTACCACTTCTGATTCAATAAATATGGACGTGACTATGTCCTCTCCAACTCCTTCAATTACATCTGAAGAGAGTATTGGTACGCGCTATCTTTTTGACGAAGAAGAACTTTTGAACTCTGAAAATGAATCTGAAGAAGATAGCGCGCTTGACGTTACAGTGGTGGACACTACCACATCCAAAACAAATCATGATGCGGGTACTACAAATTAACCTGCACCACTGCAAGGCTGCGTCCGCCAGCTTGTTGCAATGCCTCAGCAACAACGAGGCTGATATGGTCCTGGTGCAAGAGCCATGGGTTTTCAAGGATCTTGTCTGCGGACTCAGGACTAAAAACTTTGACTTAATGTATGCGGTAAACAAGGGTAAGCCTAGATCCTGCATATTAATAAATAAAATATATAACGCTCTCATGCTTTCGCAGTATAGTGACAAAGACCTAACCGCAGTAAGTATTGAGGGACCTTGGGGCCAGATATGGGCGGTATCTGCATATATGGCTCATGATCACGAAGAGTTACCATCAAGTAGCCTAAAACAGCTGACAATTGACGCTAGGAGACTTGGTGCAGATATCATTTTGGGCTGCGACGCAAATGCGCACCATGAAATATGGGGCAGCTCAAACACGAATGAACGTGGTGAGTTACTTTTCGATTTTATTTTTAGTAATAATCTTTTTATATGTAATGACGGTAATAGGCCGACTTTTGTTACCAAAAACAGGCAGGAGGTTTTAGACATTACCGTGACTACTGCCAAAATTCATGGGTCTATAAGAAAATGGAAAGTGTCCACTAGACACTCTTTTTCAGACCATATGATTTTAGAATTTTCTATAAACTTAAAGAAATCAAGTACCCCCAGTTTAGAAACTTTCAGAAATGTCAGGAATACAAACTGGACAAAGTACAAATCATCTATAAATGAGCTGCTGACAAACTCTACTCTTTATCCGCCAGAGAATATAAATGATCTGGACGAGCAGGTAGGAGATCTTACCTCAATACTTAATGAAGCTTTTAACCTTGCCTGTCCTTCAACTCGACCTAGTAGGAAGAGTAACCCACCCTGGTGGAATAGAAACTTAGGTCAATTGAGGAAAGAATGCAGGAGACTTTTTAATAGGGCAAAGCTAAATAGAAATGAGAGTGACTGGTCTGAATATAAGATCTCTCTGCAGAATTATAAGAAAGAACTACGTAAGTCTAAGAGGATTAGTTGGCAATCATATTGTCAAGAGATTAGTAGGGACTCTGAAACCTCTAGACTACGCAAAATCCTATCTAAAAATCCTTCTGTTCCTGAGTTGCTAAGAAAACCGGATGGGACTTGGTCAAATAACAGTAGGGAGTCACTAGATTTATTACTAGATACCCACTTTCCAGGATCCTTTGCTTCGACGGAATCCTCAGAATGTTTAAACTACGCACCGGTAAACTCTATCAAGTTAAACCTACAAACTCTAAAATGGGCCATTTTTAGCTTTAAGCCATATAAATCACCAGGACCGGATGGTATTCATCCTATTGAGCTGCAAAACTCTTGGGATCAAATACAAAACTGGCTTCTGGCCATTTTTAAATATTGTCTCATTTTTAATTATGTTCCAACTCAATGGAGAAAGGTTAGAGTTGTTTTTATTCCTAAGGCGGGTAAAACCTCTCATAGTAACCCTAATGAACTCCGTCCAATTAGTCTTTCATCTTTCATGCTGAAAGCTTTAGAAAGAATTATAGACTTTGAAATAAGGCGCGTTATAGATCCCAATCTTTGGTCACCGTCACAACACGCCTACACTAAGGGTAAATCCACAGAGACAGCACTCCATGCCCTCACCTGTACTATTGAAAAAACTCTTAAAGTAAAAGAATTTTGTATAGTGGCTTTCGTAGATATTGAAGGAGCTTTTAACAATATTCTTCCCAATGCAATAGCTAACGCACTCTCGCGTCTGGGTGTTGAGGATGCGCTCATCAGCTTTATCGGTCAGCTACTAACTGGCAGAATTATTGAAGCACAAATGGGTGTATCAGCAACACACAGACGGGTAAATAGAGGTACCCCCCAAGGGGGCGTACTCTCTCCTCTCCTCTGGAATATAGCGGTGAATGAACTGTTACAAAAACTGGGGAGAGCGGGATGCGGGACAGTTGCATATGCGGATGACATTGCACTAACAGTTACTGGAAAATATGCTACTAGTTTAAGGGATATTTTGCAGTATGGCCTGAATATCCTTAACAATTGGACACTGACATGTGGTCTCGGGGTTAACCCCAGAAAAACAGAAATCGTAGTATTTACCAGAAAACATAGGGTTCCAAATCTTTCTCCACTCTATATTAAAGGTTCTGCGATACAATATATTGAGAAAGCAAAATTTTTAGGCATTGTTTTCGATAGGAAACTGAGCTGGAAAGAAAATGTTTTGGAGCGGGCTAGGAAAGCAAACATTGCTTTGCTCCTTTGTCAAAAAGCTATTGGTAAAAGGTGGGGTTTGCAACCACGTATCGCTCAATGGCTATACACTGCTGTCATTAGACCCATACTTCTGTATGGCATTGCCATATGGTGGACAGCTCTTGATAAATCTTCGTACTGTACGGTACTGAACAGGGTTCAGCGCAGGGCTGAACTCTGTATAAGTGGTGCTCTGTGTACAACACCATCTATAGCACTAGATCTAATGCTCCATTTAATGCCACTTGACATCATCAGTAAGCAGTTGGCAGCATCATCTGCCCTAAGACTTAAGGCTACTTCACAATGGAAGGCTAGTGACTATGGGTACGGCTCGATTCTAAATATTTTCAGTCCTACTCCAAATAACATTGACTACACCTCTCCGATTCTCGACTTTGATAGAAAATTTATTGTTAGATTCCCATCCAGGGAAGCTTGGTTGTCAGGAGGTCCCTCCCTGGATGAGGGTCTGCAAATATTTACTGATGGTTCAAAGATTGGGAGCGGCGTAGGCAGTGGAGTTTTCTCAGAGGGGCTGAATATATCCTCCTGCTATAGGCTTCCGGATCACTGTAGTGTTTTTCAGGCAGAAGTAATTGCCATTAAGGAAGCTTTAGCTTGTCTAGAAGTAGGTAATATACTTGAAAGGAATATATATATACTATCGGATAGTCAAGCTGCTTTAAAGTCCTTGAGTTCTGTTCAATTCACATCTAGGACGGTCCTTGACTGCTACACATCTCTAAATGAGATGTCGACGCAGTTCAATATTTCTCTAATCTGGGTTCCCGGTCATAGGGATATTTACGGCAATTGTAAAGCAGACGAGCTAGCCAGACGTGGTGCTTCAGGGAACCACTCGGAACACCTAAACAATCTGGGCATATCGTTGACTTCATGCAAATTGATTTTGAGTTCTTCCTGTGCCGAACTTTTTAACAACCGATGGGAAGACTGTGCGATATGCAGGCATCTGTATGCAATGTGGCCACAGACCAACAATAGAAAATCGAAATCTCTCTTAGAGTTATCCCGTAGAGATATCAGTCTTGTAGTAGGTTTACTAACAGGTCATTGTATTCTAGGTAATCATGCTAGGAGACTGAATCTACCGTTCAACCATTTTTGCCGCAGTTGTGGTGAGGATGACGAAAGTGCCTCTCACCTGCTTTCTTCGTGTCCGGCACATGCACGGCGTCGCCTTAAATTTTTGGGAGCTTTCTTTTTTGAGGATCCTGACGAACTTCGAGAACTCCCTCTATGTAGCATTGTAAGCTTTGTTAAAGGTTCTGGATGGTTTTAGCCCATGGGTTTCTAAATAATACGGTATCACAATGGGCCTATGGGCCTAAGTGGATCCCCCTGGGATCGCCGGTTTAACCTAACCTAACCTAACATGACTGATTTAATATGATAGAGTTACATATAATCATATATAATATCTACTTGATCAAGATGAAATTGGGGTGTATCTTTCAAGCTTTAACTGCACTTTAATAAGATTAGTAGCCCTAGAAGATTACAGGTATAATATTAAAAACGATGGTTTCAATATCTTTATTACTTATTTTAATTAATTTAATCATATAAATCATTAAATTATTACGAATTATAAGTAATCATATATAAATAGAATAGATCAAATGAAATTTGGTTGAGTTATCTTATCAACCTTTATACACTTTATAATTAAAATATCCAGGAAGTACAGTAATATATTAAGAATCGATGTTCAAATTCTGTATTAATTATTAATTAATTTATCCATATAATAGCTTAAATTGTTAACAAATTTAATATTAATATAATTAAATATATAACTATAGAGTTATGTAGTTGCATCAAAGAAATTGGGCTGTATTGCGCATACTTTATGCCATCTTTATATATCTATATATTGTCCAGATAGTACAGTAATATAGGTAAAACATGTTTCAAATTACTATTATTATTACATTAATTTAATCATATAAGATAATTCAAGATATTAACGAATTATATATATCATGATAAAATAATATTATGAATCAACATCCTAATATTTGGTGTATTCTCAACTGATTAATAATACTTATAATTACATGCAGAGTACAAGTAATATTGTACTTTTTTTTTTTTTTTTTTTTTTTTTTTGGTATCGGACCTGGGTGAAAAATCTTCAAAAGATACAAATGGCCCGTACCATTTGCATGCCCGATTCATGCACGACTCAAATTGAGTCATACATGCCTACGGACTAAAAAGTCCCCTACATTCTCAACTCAAAATCCTGAAAATCCCTGCAGTACGACCAATTAAGGTATTCCTTCACAGGGCAGGTTAGAAGAGCACTTAGCGTGCATTCACTCCGATTGTGTACTAAGTATTTCGTCCGATCTAACAGTATTTATTGTTCTAGAGATTATGCTCTTGTAAAAGTTCCATTCTTCGATGCTTGCCAACATCTGCATTACCATAGTAGAAGGGCTGGATTCCCCAATTAGTGTCTCTAGATTTTGTCTAGTATCTACGAATCTTATGCAGTCTCTAATTATGTGGTCAGGACTCTCAATTTTATCTGGACAAGACTGGCAGTACGGGTTACTTGCTAGCCTAAACCGGTATAAGTATTCACAGAAGCAGCCATGCTCCGTAAGAAACTGTGTTAATTGAAATCCCAAGTCTCCAGATCCTCAGTTAATTCAAACTTTTATATTTGGAATTAACGAATGCGTCCATCTTGATTTTTGGGAATGGTCCCACCTATGTTGCCATTCATTAAGGTATTTGTCTCTTATATCTAGATAAGACTCTGCTAGAGATTGCCCAGTTTCAGTCGTTCGCCGACGAGAGCGCTGTAAGAAACTGTCTCTGGCCAAGAACGCTTCAAAGTCTATTGGCATGCGTCCAGCCAATACTCCCGCAGCATCGTTCGATACTGTACGGTAAGCACAGCAGATGCGAAGGTTTGACAATCTATGTGCACTTTTCATTGCACGTGAATACGACTTAATGGTAGTAGCATGTGCCCACACCGGAGCAGCATAAAGCATCACCGACTTGGAAACTGATGCTAAAAGAACTCTAGCGGTGTCCTTGGGACCTCGTATGTTTGGCATTAATCGAGATAATGCGTTGCAGACACGTGATGCTTTATCTCCCGATTGTTTTAGGTGAGTTTTGAAACTCAACCTACCATATAAGGTTACACCGAGATATGTAAGTTGGGGGCTAGATTGTATATCTACTCCACCCACTTTAATTGAGAGTTGTTCAATCTTTTTCCTACTACTGATTAATAGCACCTCAGTTTTATGCTCAGCAAGCTCTAATCCGCTGTATTGCAGCCACGATTTAGCTGCTGCAATAGTAGCGCTGCAATTCCTAGCCACTTCGTCTAGAGTTTTTGCAACCACTACTATTGCAATATCATCTGCATACCCAACTACGTGCACTCCGTCCGGCTTTTCAATTCGAAGGATATCATCGTACATGATATTCCAAAGAATTGGCCCTAGAACTGATCCCTGGGGGACCCCTCCCGTAATCCTATATGTTTTGGGTCTGTATCATATAAGAGTAATCTGTCTTTAAAATATGATGTAATAATTTTCAAAATTACGTATTTGAATAGTAGTAGTAGTATTCTTTTTATTAAATATAGGTTATATTTACATTTACAAAATTAACATTTTCAATAATTTATAATATATTAAACATAAATATTATAAATAATTATAAGAAAAATAATAAGAAAAACCTAACTTCATTTACATAGTATCTAATTTATCCTTATACGATTATGGCATTCGCCGTCAATCGGGGGTTTGGATTTGTGTTTACGAACTTCAGCTTATGAGAGTTAAAATGCCTCTAATATAATATTTTCTCTATAACGAGACGCCGTTTTCACATAGATCGATAACATATGCCAGTTTTCACCATTTAGCAGCCTCATTAATTCGTTAATATCTAACGTTTGTTTTCCAAAATAATTTACCCGTAGCTCCATTAAAATTGGACATTTACTAAGAAAATGTATTACATCTTCCTTTTCTTCAGTATTGCACAGCGTGCATCTCGGGTCTGACGAGTGCATAGCACATTATTGATCTAGTAGTAAATTCATAGAGTTGAAATTTTGTTTTGAACGGTATATCTTTATTTTCAAATATATTTTTCCAAGAGCAGTTAATAGCTTTTTTAGCTTCTCTCAATTTTTCAGTTAAATGTCTATTAAATGTAGCATTATAATACATCCATGTTCCAAGATACTTGTATTAACTATTTAACTACTAATTTAAGTTAACTATTTAACTTAACTATTTCTACATTTTCTCCACCTAATGTCCATACTTCTTCATTTGTATACCGCCTGTGATGCTTTTTAAATACTTGTGCTTTTGACTTTTCAATATTAACTGTTAATCCCCATAGCTTACAGTAACTGTGTAGCTCATTTATCATAATTTGTAAACAATTGGGACTTTCTGCTAGGAGAACGATGTCATCTGCATACAAAAGAGCTTTAATATTTACACCATTTATAAATGCGCCTCCAGATAGATGTGTAACCACATCGTCTATATAAATTGAGAATAGAATCGGACTGAGTGCGCAACCTTGTTTAACTCCTGAATCAGTAGCAAACCACTCTGACAAGTGTTCCCCATCCCATACAGCAGCACGATTTTCGGTATATAAACTGGATAGAACATTGATAAATTTGGTGGACATGCCAATACTACTGAGTTTATAAAATAAAGCGTTTCTGTTTACTGAATCAAACGCTGCTTTAAAGTCGACGAAAAATGCATATAGCTTTTTTCCTTTTTCCGTATACTGCTTGGCTATACTTGTAAGACAAAAAATATTATCAATTGTTGAGTATCCTTTCCTAAATCCTGCCTGGTATTCACTGATTAAATTATATTCTGCTACCCAAGCCTTTAGCCTTTCAAGAAGGATTCCTGTGAATAATTTGACAGTGGAGTTTAAAAAGGAAATGCCTCTATAATTATTCGCAATCTGCGGGTTTCCTTTTTTAAAGAGCGGATAAATGATTGCAGTTTTAAAGTCTTTAGGTGTTGTTCCGGCATCTAATATTTTGTTAAAAACCATTACTAACTTTGCGATAAAATTTGACGGTGCATTTTTATAATACTCTATGGGGATTCTGTCTTCTCCCGGCGCTTTATTTGACTTGCTGTTCCTTAAAATTTTATTAATTTCTTCTGTAGTGATTACATTATCCAACAAATCTATTTTAATATTTGATATGGCGAAACTAAATGCATACCCAACTTGAGCATTCAATAGCGTTGAGAAGTAACATGACAACTGGGTAGAATTTAACTCTGTACTTTTGGTGAACTTTTGTCCATTTAGTTTTCGCAACATATTCCAATACGTTTTGCTATCATTAACTGATCTTAAGGAGTTAGCTAACTCCGAGTAATATAAATTTTTTTTACGTTTACAAAGTAATTTAAACTCTTTATTTGCACGTGTATATAACTGTCGGACTTCCACATCTTGATGCCGCTTTGCAGTGTGAAGTAAATAAAATGATTGCTTTCGTGCTAACTCGCATTCTGCATCATACCATGCTTGCTTATATTTTCTTTGTAAGTGTTTTGGTTGTATGGGTTGTGCCGCTCTTTTAATGCAATGAGATAACAATTCAATTCCATTTTCAGCTGTTAGTTGGTTGTCTTCCATTAAAAATAACTTGTGCTCTAAATTTAGCGCAAACTTATGTGTATTTCGATCTGACCATAACAGCTTGGGGAGTAATTTTAATTCCACCTGTTCTGGGTTTTTGAAAAACTGACCCGAGACATTTACTTCTATTGGCATATGGTCTGAGTAAATTAAATCGACAACTTTAAAGTTTTTGACTAATTGCCACCATAGTCCTTTAATTAAGCAGTAATCTATTACAGAACAACCATTATTTCTTACATAAGTAAATTCACCGAAGCTGTCGCTATCTGTTCTGCCATTTATCCATTCTATAATATAATTATGTAACTTTCTTACTACTTCTTCTAATTTTTCTTCTAAAAATGTTTCAAATAAAAATATAATATCGAATGAACAAATATATTCGTAAAATTGGCTGTGTAAGGTTTTATTTTTTAGACCGGCTACATTATATGATAATATGTTCAGATTAAAGCTGCCCTGTAATGCTGACTCGTCGTTGAAATCTACGGTATGTTTAATTTTAAAAACTTTTTTAATTTTATTTGGCTGTGTTGTTTGGCATTTTTTTACTGTGCAAAAGCTTTCCGAAATATTTACTAGTTTTTTGGATTTATTTTATTGTGCAGTTCAATATAATTCGTACATATATTTTTTACCTTAGTACCATATAAAATTTGCAAAGCAGGACCCGCATCTTCATTATCGTTCATTAACTTGTTATTTCTGTCCCACCTAAACCATTTATTTCCTATCCGTATTTTATCGTCTCTAACGGCAACGCGGTGTTTCGTACTTACTTGCAGTATTTGCTTTTTTAATTCCAGCATAATTCTTTTATTCTGCTGTTTTTCGAACGTCAAGTCCCGTTCCACAAATATTGCTGTCCCTGCCAGCTTACCAGCTTTTTTCAGTATATCTACTGCGTTTTGTTCAGTATCCATCTCTACTAGAATGGTCATTTTACCGTCTTTTTCCGACATTTTTTTAACATCTTTTATTTTTGTTGATGCCGAAACGTGAAGAATATCAGTGCAAATTTTTTCTACTTCTTCACCTACTGCTTTGTTCGCCAGTAGACCTTTGAATATTAGATTTTTCTTTTTTGCTTGTGTTTCAAGTGTAGAGATCCTTTTACTATCTAAGGCCCTATATGCTTTGAGATTTTCCACTTCTTTTTTTAGACTTTCGTTTTCTTGCCTTAGCGCCATAACATCCTCAGAAAGGTAGGTAATTTTTTCTAAAACTTCCTTGTTACCATCTTTAATTATGTCTTTTAATTGGTTTACACTAAGGTCGCCTACTTTAAGAGTATAATTTGAGCAACTCGGTCCGTCTTCAGGTGAGGTTTCTGCTAACATCCTTTTAGCCGACGGATTATATGCTGTCTTCACGTTTTTTGATGGTGTACGATGTATGATTGTGTTAATTGACAAATTTTATTATTTTTAAATAATTTGTAAAATTACCTTAAAACTATGCAATGTTTTTATTTTGCCAGATAGATTTACGATTAACCCTTAGTTCGAAATATATGGTTTGTGTACCAACTAACTTAAATTTATTTTGTTTACTCTATGTTATTTTACTTGCATTACATAAACTATATATATCAAATTTTTTACTATTAAATGTTTATTAGTTGTCTCTGTCAACAATTTGCTTAGCTATTTTTGTCTTATTTATATAATTAATTGTAGGACTGTCTCTACCAGATTTTTATTACGTTTTTTTTTAAAAAATAAAAACAAAAAAAAAAAAAGTTACTCTTATTTGGCTACTAATATATGATCCACAAAAGAGCGCCTTATTTATTTTATTAAAAAGAAAGCAAAAACGCGCGCAAATTGGATGCTTTAAGTTGTAAAAAACTATTATTTGATTTAATCACTTTATGCATTTGAATTCGAACCGCAACTTATTGTTCCAACCTTCACTTCCGCTTATTCGTTTTTTTTTCTTTTAATTTCCGACGCTGAACGTTTGATACTTTTTACTATTTTTCA